CCACTGGTCAGGTCTATTATAGGGCAGCGCGTAGGCTGGGAAAAGCCTAATATATTGCAAAGTAGAATTATGTATATACTTTATTGTGATTTTGCCGACATTTTTAGGAGCAAAAAATGACAGCCCGAGCTTGTGAAAAAATTAAACATTTCCTAATATTTAGCTAAAAGTTTGCCTTAATTTCCATGCATATATTGTAATCGACGTGGCCACGAGGCTACACTCGCAATCGCCAAACCCACCAATAAAAAAACCCGACCAGTCCAATGGTTCTAACGCTTCAATGTGTACCACATTGAGACCAAATGTTAAATGTAGTAGTTTTTGTTGTTGATGCCTTCTTGTGAGAAAAAATGCAGAATGATGTAATTAGTTAGGGTTCGTTTTGGTGCTCGTTGGTTCCGTTTCGTCCTAGTACTTCACTCTAGGAACTACACCTTTTCATTTACTAACTTACTGTTGTTCGTGATTACGACCTCCTCGACGATCTCAAGCGGCTGGATCGTCGTTCGCCTCTGGGTTGTACATTTGCCCGTTGAAGTGCACTGGAAAGCGTTCTCCATGCTGCTGTATTGGCACCGATGCCAGCGTGTCCGTGTAGGCCTTCATGGTGGACGCCACGGTCGTCAACACGAGCATTACTAACATTGTAACGGGGTTACATGGTGTGGGTGTGAGCACACAGGGGTACGAAGTACCCGGAGAGTTAACAAACTCTCAGTACATAAGTTGGAGATTTAACAAGGTCTCTCAGTACGTTGGCCGAAAGCCACACGTTATGCATTTGATTAGGTTTAACTATGCTAGATAGTTAAACAGATACATTTACCCCTAGGCGGCTTGGCCGCAATAATAGTAAATAAAACACTTCTGGTTTTGAAGCATAAAAGTTAAGGTGTTAACTTTGAGCCCTGGTCTTGGGCTGTAAGTGTCCTTTGGATAAGGAACTTAGTATTAGTGACTCTTTGAGTCGAACGTCTTCCTCTGACGCTAAAGCTACGGCAGCCCCGCTGCAGAAGGCCCAAACACTACCACTTAGTACTCCGACCTAAGCGAACATCCATCCCAAACTAGGCAAAATGATTTAGGAAGACTTACTGAAATGTAGATCTCCAGCGCTTTCGCCATCAAGCCAATGTACTTCTCAGCTGTCTCGGGTGCGATTAGGGGTACAGCAGCATATTTAGCCATCGTCGGATTGTCGAAAAACCTAAATGGAAGATCGATGAAGTCAATCAGGGTGCCACTTGTAAACCACTGTTGGCAATGTCGACAGCATATTTGGGGTGCTGGTAGCCGATTTCGCTGTCTTGTTTGTAAATCTTGGAGCAGCGACAGCGAAACTACCCCGTCGGCTCGTCCTAGCTGTCTATGACGGACTAGAAAAAGAAGCCGCAGTGTTGCGGGTTGGTTTTAAAAACATGGTGAGCTCGATAATGAGCTGGATTAACTCTCAATGACCTCCCAACCAACCCAGCAGTGGTTGGCTCCCAGTTTTGCTTAGCTGGGATTGAATAGTTATGTGAAGAATGGGCTACAAATAATTTATGACCATACTGAATATCTAACTGAAACTTTAAGTCATAATGCTAGCTGAAAAAAAGTTATTCCATTCAGATATTGCCGTATTATTTCACTGCAATGAATTATTCAGAAGGCCTGAAGATGACGATTTTGCAACGGTATCTTCGCAGTCACTCTCTGGTAATCCGGTCTCCACTGAAAGTGGAGGTCGACACACTCTGTCACGGTCGTAGCGGTGAGAGCCTTGGTAGCAATTCTCACTACTTGGAACAGCTTTCGCAACCAGTGGTTCTGGTTGGGAGTGCAAGTCGTAGAGGGTGTCCCCAACGGCATTTATACGGTGATCGAACGCACGTGATCGTAAATTTGGCGGGAGAGGGTAATGAAGGTGCGGTATGCGGACTTAATCTCCAATACTTCTATCCCCTTAGCCAGAACGCTAGCCAAGAACGTCGACAGTGACTTCGACGTGAGCAACGCTGACATCGTCAAGGACTCCACGCATGTGGGTGGGAGGTGACGCATGTGGCAGACCTCGGAAAATACAAAAAGATACGATGTTGACTTCACATGACCTCCAAAATAAAAACGGAAATACAACAGAGAGTAATACCAACTACGGCGCAATTATTGGTAATACGTGCATAAGCTTGTTACCTTAGCAAAATGATGATCTTACCTAGGCCAGACTTGTGACGTCCCACATATTCTTGTTAGCACGGAGAGACATGAGTATATTAAAGTGCGCGGGGGGCATGTTGCTTCGTTCGGCGTGAGGACCATCTTGCACTCCGAGAAGAGACGTTCACAGGCGTTCGATGTCGTTGGCACCACTGCTGTCAATGGCGTGTACGCCGCTCGCTTCACGTGACGCTTCTTCGACCCGCCCTGCTGGATGATCTGGGTAGCGTAGCTATCTTGGCGGTCATTGCGCTTGCGACCATCATGTTCGGCGGTTCGTCAGACCGCGGCGCATCAAAACGTCTCAGTGCAACAGATTCAGCGGTCGACACTTTCTCTCCATCGCAAATCTTCACAAGCCCATTTTCAAAAGCTGGACAATGCACAAGTTTGACAGTTGTTTTAAAGTGGCCACCCATTATTGGGTAGTCTGCCACGACCCAAAAAAAGGAAACGCATCTCGCTCACGGTAGTATCCTCGGACTGCAAACGCTTGCACACACTATCGAGCTTCTCTAAGTGTCTAAAAAGTCCCACCAACATCTTGTGGTTGCTCATTGATGGCACTATCTCCTCCACAGCTTTCGCAAGTCGAATCGCTCGCCTTATCGCTTCGTAGTATTGCAGCATATCATAGGTAGATGACATTACGTTTCTTCGCGCGTAGCGGGGTGAGCTTAGAGATCGCCTCCGCATTGTTTGGTTGGCGCAGCTGCAGCATCAGGCTGCTGACTTGTTGCAGCAGCTGCTCGTGTTCAGTTATAAAACGCTTTAAACGCCAGGTTAAATCAGTGCGATGCATAACCGACCAATGGGGTACCGATTTTGCTGGCAATACTGTGATTGGTGCTACAATTGTCGGCGACCAAACCAGGATCGTGTCGACTATTTTGTTATAAGTCGCCAACACGTTCCGAAAGTGGGCGATGCGAGCATCGGCATCTTGGCTTTCATTATCCAGCGGGCACACGGCAAGAAGGATTCGTTAGAGCCGTCCGTCGACCACGTAGAGTCCGATGACAGCAACAAAATGCATGATGCCGTGGGTTCAGCCGTCGTACATAATGCCGAACAGGATGCCCATCTCTTTGGATATCACGACATACCATCCGTAATCATGTCTGCCCTGACGGCTTTTGAGCTGATCGGTCGCCACTTGGACATGGCCCTTGTGAGCTCGTCGTCTACCTCTCTAAGCAGCATACCCCGCACGACCACCCACCGGGGCCACTGGTAGTGATGGTAGTTTTTCTCAGATAGGAGCCCACATTGTTGAAGGGGGCGCTCAGTACCGTTTTGTGCGCGGTGTGCTGCGCACGGAAGTACTCGTGACAGCTCGACAGGTGTGACACGAGGTTGGAATCGCCTGTACCGGGCAGCTGCTTGCAGCTAGCACGGCAAATCTTGCAGCAATGAATTCCTTCACCGAAGAAAAAAGTTCCGAAGTAGCACTTCTTTCCACTGGTGCGAAAATCCGACCCGTCTGTTTCTGGCTAAATCAGTACATTTTGCCCAGTGAGCGCTTAGAGAGCGGAGACCCACCGAAGCGAAGCGTAGGTCGGGGGCGCGGCGCGTAGCGCGGAGTACATGTACAAAAAAGAAGGTTCTATCTATACCGGAGCCACCGAAGCGAAGCGGAGGTCGGTGACTAGGGAGCGCTCTAGCGTAGCGAAGCGAAGCGGGCGCGGCTTATCGCCCCGCCGCGATCAGCGGCGATATGTACTGAGATACGTTGTTAGTACTCGATTAAGTACGAATCGCACAGATTTTCGCACGGAAATCTAGATACTGTCGCACCAGTGGAAGAAGTCCCTGTTTGGTCGCTTTTGTCGTACTTCAAAAAATGAACTGTGAGCTGTAGCTACTAGTTTTGACAGCAAAGTCCGCGTAAAGCTCGCTTTGCCATTCACTTTAGCTAAACACTGATAGAGACTGCCGAACCGCCAGGAAGGACAGCGCTAAAGTGACTTGGGACTGTAGCCAGGTATTTTATTGTAATAATTGGGCTAATGAAATATTGTACTAGTTTGTTCATGTAGAGGGTCAATAATAATTATTAAAATCTAAATTGGCAATAATTGTTGTTCCGCAATTATTTGTTTTCGAGGCGGTAGTATTCTTGTTCGGTCCTACATGTAATAGATAACCTATCGCTACCGACAGAAATCAGAAACTCAAGACCTCAAACAAAATGGCGGGTCAAGGGTCCTTGCCGCCATCGACTTCGTATTGGACAGTCATGGTAGTATCTATCCATCAACGTTCCGCCTCGCTATCGCAGGAGCTGGCTGTGACTCAAACGGTAGCCAGTAAAAAGGTGTGTTTTCTACTTTCTTCATCGCGCAGTGTAACATCAGCCAACGTCACTCTCGGCAGTGTTTATTGTCCATTTACAGCAGACAGCGAAGCTCCATTAACTATCGTCTCAAGCACGGACGGTGGCAACACTGCCTTCTTACCAAGTGACGACGTTACTGGCACTTCAGGGGCTGCCCAGTTCAGCCACGCCTTGATGACAAAGATCACGTGTTCACACGCCACAATTAACGCAGACCGTTGAAGTTCAGTCCACGACGGCAGCAACTCGTCCAGTTCGTACGTCCAGACTAGCGCGCAGTTAACAACGACAGCTACACCGGCAAAGCTCACCAGGCACTTTCTCTCCAAAGCCCAATTTTCCTTGGGGGTGGTGGGGGAAATTGGGCCCCTGAAAATTCTGTGTTGAATTCACAAGATTTCCCCCGGGGGCGAAATGAACTCTCCAACGTATTATTCCAACCCGCGAAAGCCGCCGCCAACGGAACACTGGGCTATACAGAGTCACGTACCCGAACTGCACCATGAGCTCCTTATAGTCAGCAAATGTATCACGATACGTTGCCTGTCGCTTCTGCATAAGAACTCGCGCCAGTCGTTGCTCTGTCGCCGCTTTAGCCACGTCGACTCGCTCACGCTTGGCTCGAAGCGTCGAGTGCTGACGCTGGATCCCTACAACTGCCTCGCTCTGAAGACTCTGAAAGACTCTGTTGACGACGCCGTTTATTCTCCGCTGTGAGCACTTGACCGCCCACCGAGACAGCGAGTGGCAGACCTACTTCCTTGAAATTATCGATCAGCTGTGTCGCTACCAGTAGAATCCACAGACGCTCACGAACATGATCCAGTCGTCGCACATAGAAAGCGAGAAACCAGAGCGATGCGTTGCTATTGACGAGATGAAACGGCATGCGTTTAGCCACCAAATGTGCTTCGTGTTCATCCAGTGTACGGTAATTCTCGAATTCCGTGAGTTTGCGCGCCAATAACTGATACAAATTGTCCATCACGTGGATGATCACGGCGTTTATGACGCTTGGACCATGTGATACAAAGGCGCACGTCACGGTATCGTAGCTGGGTACCCAGTTTTCCGCTACATAAGGTCCCTGGGTGCAGCTACCCTTGTAGCTCGCTCGAAGCCGTTCCGAAAATACGTGTAGCCCGACAACGTACCCTACTACTAAACAGCACATGGACACTAATAACGGGACAGCTAGAAGTTGCCGCAGAAGACGCTTATGATGTGGATAGTCGAAACAGCGTACCCCAGTCACGGGGTCTTGCATCCACTCGCCTTTGAACTGTACCCTCGTCGT